AGCAGTGTCATAAGTACACATATATATGCCTATGATCATTGTTATATTAGTCACAATAGCAAAAAGATTAAAACTATCTTAAGAGCCCATTAACAGATGAATGGGTAAACAAGCTGTGGTACATATATACAAAACATCTTTTAGCATGAATGAATCTAAAGAACATTATAATGACTGAAATAAGTCAATTACAAAAATAAATAAATACCATATAGTCTTATTATAATACAAAAAACAAATACATACCAACAGCTAGAACAAGGGCAACAATGTAAATCCTCCAACAACAGAAGAAAGAAAATCATAAAGTTTTTAGCAGAAATAAACTAGACATCAGAAAAACAATGGGAAAAACCAACAAGACAAGAAGTTGCTTTTTTTTAAGGATTGAGAAAATTGTCAAACTGCTGGCAAAATTAACAAAGGAAAAGAAAGAGACGATGTAAATATCTAGAATTAGATATGAAAATGTGACATCACAACAGATCCAAATGAAATAAAAATAATAATAACACGGTACTATGAAAGACTGTACTCCAACAATTTGATAATCTAGAAGAAGTGGACAAATTGGAGAAATACATCATCTCCCCAAGCTAATGCAGATGATTTAGAAAACCTGAACAGACCCATGACAAAAGAAGAAATAGAGAAGGTCATCAAGAAATTCCCAACCAAGAAAAGCCCAGGACTAGATGGCTTCACAGGGGAACTCTACTGAGTATCCAGGGAAGAGTTTTCACCAATTCTATACAGACTATTCCAGAATATAGAAAGGGACAACAAACTCCCAAACTCATTCTATAAAGCCAGCATAACCCTGATTCCAAAACCAGGCAAAGACCCCCACAAAGAGAGAAAACTACAAACCAATATCTCCTTTGAATATAGATTTTAAAATTCTCAACAAAACTCTGGCCAATAGACTCCAACAACAGATAAAAAATAATTCATGAGCGAGATGCAGCACTCAGCCTTTCTCCTCCTTGCCCTCGTGGTGCTCACATCCACGGTGGCCAAAAAGAAAGGCAAGGTGAAGAAGGGTGGCCTGGGTGGCCTGGGCAGTGAATGTGCTGAGTGGGCCTGAGAGCCCTGTATACATTAAGGACACTGGCATGAGTTTACACAAGGGCATCTGGGGGACCCAGACTCAGTGCATCCCATGTGGAGTGCCCTTCAACTGGAAGAAGGAGTTTGGCGCCAATTTCAAGTACAAGTTTGAGAGTTGGGATGTTTGTGATTGCACAGTCACCAAGGCCAGCCAAAGCACCCTGAAGAAAGCTTGGTATAAAGCCCAGTACTAGGAGTCCATCCTCATGATGAAGCGTTCCACAACTAAGACCAAAGCCAAGAAAGGGAAGAGAAAGACACCGCTGGCTTCACTTTCCCGGAGGCTTTCCCCTCAGGAGATATATGCCTTTTTTCTACTCATCAGATTTATCAATCACGACTGCCTCTTCCCTTTCATCTCCATCCACCTCCTGGTCCCCAACCAAACACTCAAAGTGGCGAAGGACAAGGGTTTCTGGAATACTCAGGTCTCCTCCAAAGGGTAACACACATGCCTGTTGTTCTTCCCCACAATTTTGCCATTACTAAGAAACAAATATACCATCTACCTCAAAAAATTATAATTTGTCATGCTAGGTGATATGTAGAGCAGGGATACAAGGAACTAAACAAGAGTGCCCTTATTATCAATCTTAATTAATATTGTGCTGGAAGCCCTAGTCAGAAACATTAGAAAAGAAATCAAGAGAATAAAAAGAAGAAATGAAGCTCTTGCTATTTGCAGATAATATGATTTTATAGAGAGAGAATCCCAAGAACTCTACAAAAATACTGTTGGAAACAATTAAGGGATTTGGTAAAGCTGCATAATATAAGGTTAACAATCATTAAAAAAAAGATTAACAAACAAAAAAAGATTAACAAGCATAAATCATATTCTTATATACTAGTGCTAAGAACTCTGAAAAAGAAAACAACGTGATTTATAATAGCCACATAAAAGATGAGATACCTAGGAATGAACCTAACCAAAGTAATAAAATACCTGTACAAAGAAAACTCTTACAAGAAACCTAGAAAAAGACGTACACAAATGGAAGAATAACCTGTGTTTGTGGATAGGAAGACTTAATATTGTGAAAACGCCAATACTACATAAAGCAATTCACAAATGTAGTGCAATTCTGATCAAAATTCCAGCGTCATTCTTTTTTTAAAAAATGGAAAAGCAAATTACCAACTTCATATGGAGAGGAAAGAGACCTACAATAACCAAAGAACTTCTCAAAAAGAAGAAGAAAGTAGAAAGTCTTGCACTCACCAACCTCAAAAACTATTACACAGTCACAGTAGTCAAAAGAACCTGGTACTGATGTAAAAATGCTTAACAATATATACATGCAGAAAAAGTTCTTTGATGATTACTAGGATGGGATAGAGAATTACTTAATAGTAGATTCTTGTTACTTTTGATGATGAGAAAGATAACATGGGTAATGTCAATACAACATGACCAAAGAAAATAAAGATACTAAGAAGAACATGAGAAGAAGGAACAAGCATGATAAATGTTATAACAACAATGGTAAGTGCAACCAAAACATTTATATGTATTAATGTGGGTAGATGTGGATGGAGGAATAATGGATGGATGTGTATAGACAGGCATACATGAGTGAATGTACATGGATGTATAGGTGTACCTAAAGCATATAATGTGTATGCTCCATATTTACCCTCATATATGACAAAACCACATAGAATGCATAGTTACAAAGACTTTCTAGACATATCCAAACAACTCATGGGATAGGTTTGCAGGCTAAAGGGCCTTAGAGAGATAACTTAGTCAATTGGCATAACATAGTTTACAAAGATAAAGTTCTAAAACCAAGTTGTTGAATACCATCTGGGGTCTTAAAAGTATGAGAGCCTTCGATTAAGATACAATTATTGTACATACAGAGCAAAAGAAAATTAGGAAAATCAAAAGATTAAAGAAGAAACCAATCCATGAGACTAATAATTGAATCAAACTATAATGTCTTCAAATTTGAGACCAGAAGAACTAGGTAGTGCCCAGCTTCCAATACCAACCATGTGACCAAGGACCCAATAGAAAGTCCATGATAGAATGAAAGAAAATTGTAGAATAATGCTCGAATTTCTTAAAATTCCAGACCTACTGTACCAAAAGAGACTAAAGAACACCCTCCCTCCAGATTATCACCTGAAATAATATTAGAAGATGGAAATGAAATGGTTGCTGCCAAACAGCATCAGCCTTGAGTAATGTACTCCCTCTGACAATGAACTGCTTGAGAATGGTCAGCATTCACCAAACATCAAAGGTGAGAACAAAGGAAGGCAAGGGAATTAGGTCAGTTGGAACAGAATAAACAGAAGGAAATAACTACAATACATTGTTAACAAGAACACCAAAAGCACAGAACAGTTTTTTCAGAACAATTTCTACCCCAAAAAAAAGTGTTCCTAGGTAAACTTTCAGGTAAAACTCAATAAAATGTTGTTGTTTTTAAGAAAGAATGTAAGCTGCACAGACAAAGAACTTCTTATATTCATTACAACACTAATGCCTAAAACACGCAAGGCGAAAATGAACTTTATTTCAAAATTCGAGTTTTAAAATTGGAGCTCACCTCTTCTAAATATTCTGAATCCTCTTCTCTCTGGACAGTTCCCACTGCAGAACCCAGACAGGGAGGAACTGAGGGGCTGAAGGCCATGAGGTCGGTCTTGGGCGGCCCCTCCCCAGAGCACACCCGCGGCCGCCTCTGCTGCGACGA